TCTTTTAATTTGTCACACAAAGTTGGGCAGCATTACATTTCCTCAAAATTGTGTTATCTTCTACACTATACTTGTGTATGAATACAATATTTAGGACAGTCACTGTCCAAAATCCTCCAGGATACGTGCTCCCAACATCCAGACATGAGTCATTCAAGGTGCCCAACTCTGTGTGGAAACTATTCAAAACCCACAAGTTCCTGACTGGAATCCAAGACCTTCTTCATGCCCTCAACTTTTGTTTTCCAGAGGATGGGAAACATATCTTGCAGAGCCCAGAATTATCACCTGGGTGCAGTGCCACATTCTGCAGGAGAACTCTGTGAAGAACAGAAAGAATGGCAACGTGCAGGGTCCTATAATGAATGATCACCTTCCTCCAAGTGCAATATACTGTATATAACAACAACTTCAAAAAATAAAAACTTTAATATTAAAATCCATTAATTTTTTTATTATTTCCTAATTTGGGGTGGATTTGGTGTCCCCTAACACACACACACACACACACACACACACACACACACAGAGCAGCAGCAGTTGCACCACATATAAAAAACAGACCACTACCTAACCACAACTTCACTTTGTGCCTCCATACAGAGCTGCTGATGATGTTAGCAGCAGCAAGCCTGATAAGAGCTAAAAAAAAAACTAACAGGAATGAGAGTAAGTTCTTAGCAGAGGCAACAAACACACAGACTCGCTGTTAAATCTGCTGTATTCAGAATCAGAATCAGAATCAGTTTTACTGGCCAGGTGTGTTGGACACACGAATAATTTGACTCTGGTACAGAGGCTTTCAATGCATATGTACATGGCCTTAAGAGCTTATGATATTTAGAGCTGATGAGCAGTAAATGTAATAAACAGCAGTGCTACGGGCATGTAAAAGCAATCCCCCACAGGCATGGACTTTCCTTTGAATTGTTGTTCCCCATCCAGTCTCCAAATGCTCTCTTGACCTCTACCAAACTGTGCTTTCTGACCACAGTGTTCTAGCTGCCTGTTCATTTCAGGTCGCCCCATGGTTCTATCTTTTTGGCAGATTACTCACCTGTTTGGACCTCTGCATGGAATCCTGGAATTTGCCTTCGTCTGTTTCCCCTAGATTGTTTGCTGTGTGCTCTCCTGCTTGACTCTAGCTTTGTCTGCTGTTCTTCCCTTCCTGATACAACATATTTTAGAAATTCACGTTCCTCAGGAGAGGCTACTAAACATGTCCTATAGGCTACATCATGAGCTATAGGCTCTTAACTCTGATGTTTGTTTTTAACACAAAGCCTACAGCTCAGTGTGACAAGGTCAGGTGTTAAAGAGCAAAGTCACATATGTTAGGCCATTAACTAAAGTGGAAGAATATGAGGCACATCCTTTTCACAGCATACAAAAACAATGGCTCACTTTCTAGTTTTCATAGATTCACTTCTTTTTACAGAATATCTGGCCAGAGACTATAGCTGTCATAATTTTGTTAGTTATGTATCAGTATCATTTTCATAATCTAATTGCTAAATCTGTTTGTAAAACAACTGTTTTTCAAATCAGTAATTAAACTGACTTGAACTGGGTCTGTCTTTACAAGCTCAGCCTCACTTTAAATCCTTGGTGGGGAAAAAAAAACTTTATAGCAATAAATGTCAGCTATTGTCTACACTTCAAAGGTCAGCAGCTCATCCTTCACTGTGTTCTGGCTCAGCTTAATGTGCCATGTTTAGAATAATAATGATGTTACAATCATATTCCTGCCTGCTTTGAACTCTTAAAATTGCCTATCCTCCAAAACAACCTTTAGAAAGAGAATGTTGTTTTGTGCCATGATAAATGAGAGCGTGTTGCTCATAATGTTAATAAGGTGTTTATGCGTTGTGTGACGTCCTGTTTGACCCCAGTGCACACCTCTACAGGCACTGAAAAGGTTTAAGTGGTTTATTGATGGGTTCCAGGTGGGGGTTGAGCTGCAAACAGGGAAGATGACTGTGGCATGCAGGTAAGACTGAGGAGCTGTCTTTGGATCATCAGGAGAGGATATACTTGGGTCAGTGGGTTGCAAGTCTCTTAAGGCAATCTACTCTCCAAATACTGATCCCTGCTCAACTTCCCCTCAACTGTGAGATCAGGCATACCCTGGAGATAGTGGCCTTCACCATTGGCAGGGGACTGGGAACAGTCAAATTCAAGTTAGCTGATAAACCTGTCCCACACAGGGAGCAAACAAGAGACTGAACTCTACACATTTTAAATTGACTAAATACTTTCACTGCACTAGCTCAGTATGTGTGTAAAAGCAAAGTTTTATGTAACAGTATTGGACATTACAGACTTAGTGTTTGTGGAACTTGAGTCGTGGGTGGTGTTCATGACAGTGCCATAAGTAAAATGTTAGATTTACATATGTGAAAGATAAAGTATAAATTCGTCACTTTTATTTCTACTCACAAACATAAGAATAACATGTATTTGTCAAACTTCTTTTGACTTAAAAATGCTCAAGTTAAGTTAAGAGACCTCTGTAAGTCTCTGGAGTTGGTTTTGTATAAGGTGCTGCTACTACCTCTACTACTACTAATTTGAAAAAGCTAATTTACCACCTTAAATACTCTTTGGTAGTTGAAATCAACTCCGAAATGTTTAACTCTGAAATTTCAACAATCCAATTTTTGCATGTGTACTATTGCTACTACTAATACTACTATTAATATTTTAGTATAATTAATATAGAATAGTTTTAGTTTATTAAATGATATAATATATTGTTGTCATTTCCACCCATCAGCTATACTCACTTATTTGTGATACAGGGAGGCTGGAGTTGATCCCAGCTGACATCTGGGGTATGGAGGAGTGCATCCTGGACAGTTTGCCAACCTATCACAGAGCTGATATATAGAGACAGACAACACTCTCACATCTGTGGGCAATTTAGAGTGACCAATTAATCTAACCTACATGTCTTTGGACTGTGGGAGGAAGGACTTGTACCTGGAGGAAACCCACACAGGCACGAGAGAGAACATGCAAAGTTGTAAATTTCCCAAGTTAACTATTCTTGGAGATTCAAAAATTGCACACAAATAAAATTTGCTTAAAAAACACATACATATATATATATCATTTGGGTTTCATCCCAAGTCCAGCATCCTGAGACTGTACACTAAGCGGAAGGAAGGAGGCCGAGGATTAGTGAGCATCAGAGCCACTATCCAGTGCTTAGTGAATACCTCAGGCAACAGAAACCAGAGGAACAAGGAAAGGAAGAGCAGGAACCCTCATGGAAGGACAAACCTCTGCACAGTATGTACCACCGTCAGATAGAAGAAGTGGCTGATCAAAAAATCCTACCAGTGGCTGGACAAAGCTGGACTGAAAGACAGCACAGAGGCACTAATCCTGGCAGCACAAGAACAAGCTCTAAGTACAAGATCAATAGAGGACCCCAGGTGCAGGCTGTGCAAAGATGCCCCTGAGACAATCCAGTACATAACAGCAGGGTGCAAGATGCTAGCAGGCAGGGCATACATAGAACGCCATAACCAAGTGGCTGGCATAGTGTACAGAAACATCCGTGCTGAGTACAGGCTGGAAGCCCCAAAGTCAAAATGGGATACACCTCCAAAGGTGGTTGAGAATGACCATGACTTGTACCTTACTTGTTATGTAGTCTAATTAGTAGAAGTTTGATAAACAACGTGCTAGCTTTTTCTATTTAGCTACTTTGCACAAACTAAGGAAACTATAAGCAATCACTTAAACGTTTCATGTAGTACTTCATTTTCATGCCTGTCTACAGGCATTTGTTGTAGCTTTAAGTGCTTTTTAACCATTTTACACTCCTCTGACTCAGTGACATGCATACTAAACAGTATGAGCTCTCAAACAACAGTTAGATTTACTGCAAACTCACAGGACTCCTGCTACTGCCACACCCCACCCCACATCTCCCTGTCCCCCGCCTCCTCTCCCAGACACATACATCCAGACCCCGTTCCCTCCAGCATAAGTCTCCATTTCACTGGCCTGGCTTTGTTTTCATAGCGAACCCAGGGGCCCATTTCCACCACATTTGTGACCTGAACAACGTTCCCTACTTCTCTATTCCAGTCTTGGAGTTACTGACATAGAGGACAGCTTGTTGTTTTCAATGTAGCTGCAGAGATTTTGTCTTTAATTGTTATTTTATAATTTTAGTTTTTTCTGGCCTTGTGCTGTTAGTGTAGGATGGCAGGATGTAGGATGTGTGGAAATAGATGGATGCCGGGCTGAAGTCCAAGCTTTGTTCCTTTTTATATTACCTTTGAAAACAAGCAAGAAGTGATTTTTTGTTATGAAGAAACTTTTCACAGACACATACACATGTACATGAGAATTAACAAATTACTGAAATATTGTACATAAAACATCAACAAATAAATATGGAATGCTTGTTGGAAAACCACCCATCACACTGTAAGGGACCAAATGAAGCAGACTGTGTCAAACATACTGAACTCTATGTTAAGAACTAGATCTATGTCGTTGCGCATAAAAACTTTGAGAAATGATTCACAAAGACAGATGGAGGATTTCCAGCAGAGACAGAATGATTTCTTTGCTTTCATTTGAGTTGTATTTGCTAGTGAGATAAGAGAACATAATTTAAGTTTGATGTGTACAGTATGAGTGTGTATGTGTTTTTGTCAGTGTGGGTAAATGGCAGAGAACCAGAGAGGGCTTATGAGAACCATATGACATGCTCTGAAAAAGACAGCATTGCACAGTTTGCTGCACCTCCCCCATTCTGACATTCACATCCACATAGCACCCCCTACTTCTTCCAAAAACATACATTTCTTTTCCTCCCTTCCCTCCCTTTATCCCCTTCTGCTTACCCTCATGCTTGCTTTATCTCCCTCGCTCTACCCCCTTCCCTTTTCTCCCCTCCCTCCCTGCTCTCTGAAATTTTGTGACAATCTGCATGCGCTCAGCCTC